ACTCCTAACATAGTTTGCGTTAGGAGTCCAATGGTAGAGGCGCCACGTGTCAAGTGGGCTCCACCGCAATACATTAACATTGGTCAGTTTTAAGAATGATGGGGCCCGTTTGACACATGACGCCCCATCATTGAATTCCGAATGCATCCAGAGTCATATTATAATATTTTTTTTATGATGACAGTGAAGATCATATAATATAATTTTGGTGAGACTATTCTAAATTAATATGTTTTAAGTTCAAATTTATCATCATTTATCCAATTTTAAAATGATATTTTCTAGAGAAGATAATAATGTTAATTTATTTATAAGCAAGCTATTCTAAATTAATATGTATGTATGTATTGATTTTCTCTCCCAATTATGTGGGTGGCTCTTAGAGATGTGCATATTTAAATAAATCTAAGAAAATGAATTGAAGGTGGTATTTTTTTATCGGTTGTTAATATATAGATTCAGTTATTAATTATAATTGACTTATTTATTTAATATATAATTCAGTTATTAATTATATACATTCAGTTATTAATTATATAAAAAAATCAAACTAATAATGTGTTAAATTTTAACATCTCTTTAATATTTTTTAACTATTAGTTCAATTATATTGAGATAAAAGAAAACTAATGTAACAAGTAGAGACTGGTAATTTTCTATCCAGATTCCGAACGCAGCTCTACGTGAGGACTCCTAGTACTATACCGCCACGTGTGTTATATCGGATTCAACAAAAAAAATATTAAAGTGAAACCATGAACTCCGCAATAACTCCGAAATAACATCTACAGTGTTATTTCAGAGTTATTGAAGTGAAATATATGAATTTCTCTTCAATAACCCAAGAATAACCCCGAAATAACATCCGCACTGTTATTTTCGGGTTATTGAAGTGACATCACAGAAGCTATTTAATGATTATTTCTAAGTCATTTTGGAATTATTGAAGTGTAATATATGAATCTCTTTAATAACCCCTGAACAATCTCCACGGTTCCACTTCAATAACCCCGAAATAACCTTCGCGACATAACACACGTTGCGACATATTATTAAAGTCCGCATGCAGAGCTACATCCAGAGTCGGGACATAAAAGACAGACTTTAAGCGAAGCAGCAAAGAATGACAGGAAGTGGCAGCGTCGCGTGCGATATAAACACACGTTGCGACATATTATTAAAGTCCGCATGCCGAACTACGTCCAGAGTCGGGACATAAAATACAGACTTTAAGCGAAGCAGCAAAGAACGACAGGAAGTGGCAGCGTCGCGTGCGATATTTTTAAAAATCGGCTAAATCATTCAAATTGTGAATTCATCAAATTTGCAGACTGCATTTCCTTCTCATTCATATAAATGCCAAAATTAAATGGACCCAAAATACTCGGGGTCTAATAAATAAACTAACACAACCATAAATATAACTGTTGTAATACATACACTCTTTACAGGCAAAAAAATCTGACATGCAAACCCACATCATAATCTAACAATAGAAAGGAAGATTTACATCTATACCACTCAACTCTTATGTATTTACATACATACATACATACATACATACATACATACATACATATGTATGTATGTATGTATGTATGTATGTATGTATGTATGTATATATATATATATATATTACATTTTACAAAAACAATCCGGTTGTAATAAAAAATACAACTCAGAAAAAAGAAAAAAAAAACTACAGCCATCAGATTTGCTTTACGATATGTGCAGCATAAATTATAAATGATACAAATGTTTAATTATGCATTGCACTAATCTTAAAAGAAATCCAACGGCCAAAAACTTTATACTCACCAAATATTCTCCAATAAAACTGCATTTTTGAAGCTCAAAACCTCATAATCAAATGCAGCAAAAAGCACAAGATCTCATGCATCATCCTCTGACTTTCTCATACAAATGAAATATGGAAGATTTACATGCATACCACTCAGTTCTCTATGTCTTTACATATCTAACACCTAAAGTGGAATGTTTTTACATACATACCACTTCACTGGTGCATGAAATGTGTATTTCAGTTTTTCAGTAGTTAAAATGGTGATATTTTTAATGTGATATGAAAGATTTGCGTGATATAAAAGTAAAAAAACACAAAGTTTAGGGGTTAGAAACGTAAATACATACGAATATGTAAATGCCCCATGAAGAAACAGTATCAGGCTAATAGATTAATATTCCAGATATCTTGACTTCCTAATACAAATGAAATACAGGCATTTACATACATCCCACATAATTCTTATGTATTTACATATCTAACATACAAACTTTAATATTTACATGCATAACACTCAAATCTTTAATCTCACATAACAAAACCCACTAACAACTACTTTTAAAAAGTTAAACAAACATTTTCATGCTTAGATTTATCGCACCAAAATGTTATAAATATAAATATGAAGCTTTGGCAGTTAGTGGTATGAACGTAAATTTCCCTTTGAAATATTTACCCAACCTTTTGCAGAAACAGAATTTCAGCTTGCCTAAACTGAAAGAATCTCAAGTTCTGCCCACCAGAGAGGAGAGAGGCGCGGCGCAGCCTCCTGCGGTGAAATCACGATAACATTCCGAAGCAAAGCGGTGACGTCTTTCATGGTCGGCCTGCTCTTAGGATCATCAAGGATGCATGCTGTGATTGCCTCATATATGACATCAAGTTCATTTTCTTCTATGGATTTCAGAGCAGGGTCCACTAGAGACTTGACACTATTGTTAGCTTTTAGGCTGTCGGCGACCTAAAATAACCAAACATAACTTTAGTTTTTTACATATTAAAATATAAGCAGGAAAAGGCATATTTTATTGAGAAAAGTTTAGCGTTGAGGATACTTGTGATGTGATTTAGAGATTAGAATTAGGGGCGTGAATGAATCGAGTTGAGCTCGAGTCACCCCAAGCTTGAGCTTGATTAACTAATCAAAGTTTGAACTCGAGCTTAATTTTACAAGTCGAGCTGAGTTCAAGTCACCCTGGAATTGAGCTTTATTTAATTAGTTAAAGTTCGAACTCGAGTTTAATTGATTATTTATTAAAGAAAGAAAATGATTTTAGTTTAAGTAAATGATATAAAAGTTATACAGTGAAAGAGCCATTGGAGAACAACAATAAGAAATCACTTACACACACACAAAATTTAAATATGAAGCTGGCTCACAAGCTAATGAGTTGAGTGGAGGTTGGCTAAAGCTAGGTATAGTTATATGAGAAAATATAAATATCTAATAAAAGCTAGGTATAGTTATATGAGAAAATATAAATATATAAATGATATAAATGCTAATTGTACACCTCATAAAAATTCGGTGGCATGTACGTAAATCCCTTCTCTTTTTATCTTTAACTAGCAAAGCCAACAAGGAATCGAGTTCATATTAACTTCGATAATAATAAAAAAAACGAGTGAAGTGCCAAAATAGTCCCTGATTATTTACACATGATCATTTTAATCCCAAAGTTTATAAAAATGTTGAATTAGCCCCATATACTTTTAATAAGGGTTAAAATAGTTGTTTGTGGGAACTATTTCAGCCTAAATTAAAAGAGTATGGATATTATATTGACACTTTAATACACTCTGGAAAGAAAATGACCTCCTACAAAAAGTCAATGAGCAATTTTAACACGTTTCTCATAAGAAAATTAAGGATTAAGAAAAAAGGGCTAACCCAATTTAAAATAGGTAGACCATCTTCCTCAGAGATTGGCATTCTTCCAGAAATAATCTCTAGCAGTAGAATCCCAAAGCTGTAAACATTACTCTCGCAAGTAGTAAAATGATCAGTGTTGTCTCTTCCATCTCCTTTGTAAAATTTTCCTCTTCCAATTGGCTCACTGAAGATGCCTATATCTGCTATCTGCACACCAAATAAATTCAATTCTACTCCATTTATGCAGTTTAAAGCGAGAAAATAAGGGCTCACCTTTGCTGCATAGTCTTCAGTTATGAAAATAGAGCTGGAGTGTAGAATAGGGTGTATTACTGGGGGGTTCAGATTATGCATATATTGGAGGCAATATGCAATTCCCATAATAATCCTCATTCTAACACTCCATTGAAGATGCTCAAAGTCTGGCACTGAAAATTGAAGCTTAAATTATTATTATTATTATTGGCATTTAAATGCATATCTCTGAATTCCTATGAATTTACTTTTTCATATTTATAACACTCAAATCATTCACATCACATAAAAAATGCCACCATTTTAATTTTTGAAAAGTGAAATACTTCTTTTCATGCATGGGTAAGGTTACATATATGTAAAAATAGAAGTTAAGGTGTTAAATATGTAAATACTTGGCAAGTTTTATGCATGGTGTTAGCGCACGAACGTAGCTCACTAGAACTTTTCAAGTTGTTCCCAACCAGGGTGATACATGTAAGTAATGGTTAAAATTATAATTTTGCATGTAGAATATGGAGGCCTGTTTGGGATTAATTCTATTCTGTTCTGTTTCTTTTTAAAATATGTTTGTTTAATGTGTTTTTTATATGTTTAATTTTTTAGTTTTAAAAATAAATAAAATAAATTTTACAAACATTAAAAAAACATCCTATGTTTTTTTTCAACATAATGAACATGGTTTATTTAAACTCAAATATGGAGAAAACAAAATAACAAAAATATCCCACATGATCCCTTAGTTAATGCCTTTAAATCTAATAATCAATTTAAGAAATTTTTTTTTTTTGAAAACTAACCATGAAGATGCTCGAAAAGTGTCCCATTTGGTGCATACTCGAACACCATCATCCTCATGAAAGGATCTTCCTCTTTGCAGTAACCCAAAAGATTGATGAAGTTTTTGTGGTTTATCCGCGAGATCGTATTTATCTAGAATTCCAAGAAAATTTAAAAAATAAGATCATATATATACATATATATATATATATATATATATAAAAGATGAAAAATAATTTCTATTATAGAAAAACATAAACCTTATTTCTGAATTGCATTTCAGACCAATCGGACCAATCCTTCAAAGAAGAAGCCTTTGTCGACACAACTGCTATTTCAACGCCATTAGACAATGTCCCTTTAAACACCGTGTAGCCGGGATAGGTGATGACGATATTGCTAAAATACTCGCAAGCAGCATCCAATTCTGCTTTATTTAATTTTGGAACACCTGAAGCCACTCAAAACGTCAGGGACAAGAATATAATTTTATAGAGAACAAATCGACATGGTCCCCAAACTATTTCAGGGGCTAAATAGATTCTAAACCACATAAAAAAGCCAATTTAGCCCCAAAAAATTTTAAATAACTACAAAACAATCCCCAGAATCTTTAAATGAATACTAAAATAATTTCACTCAAGATGCATGAACACTTCTAATTAAGTAGTGCAATGTGGATTATATATCGGATCTGGACCTGGACATTGCTCTCTGACACGACATAGAAGCGTTCGATTTAAATAATATGTATATATAAAGAGATATGCATGTCCTAAAATGAGAAATTAAAAGTTTCTAAGAATATTTATATTTTTAATATTAAAATTTTAAGGAAGTAATTCTATTTTTTTATTTAAAATTAAACTTATCTTGATGTAATTCAAGGCAATAAGGGTTTACTTTGCTCTATACCATAAACTAAACAGTATATATAGATCTCTCAATTTTTAAAATTTAATCTTATTAAATTTCTTAATATCTCGTATTAATTATTATATTTATCATTTATTTAACTTTTATCTATTTTTTATAATTTATATAAGGAATCTTTACATACATACCATTAAATTCTTATTTATTTACATATCTAACCCCTAAACTTCAACTTTTACATATATAACACTTAACCTATACATGAAAATGTGTACCTCACATTTCAAAGCTAAAGTAGTGATATTTTAGGCATGATATGAAATATTTTGGTGGTATAAATATAACAGGCAAAGTGCTGGTGTTAGATATGTAAGAACATAGGAATTGGGTGGTATTTATGTAAATGTCCTATATATTATAATGTATTGTCCGCCGCATATATGCATTATATTTTCAATAATAGAAGTGTTATGTGTTCATGTTGTGCCTTGTCCGTGTCCCCGCGTTCTTTCCACCAGAAGACAATTTTGGTTTGTATTAAAAGTTTTTGGGGATTAAACTAGCTCTTTACAAAGCCTGGAACCATTTCAGTCCATTTTCTATAATTTTACACATCAGGAATTTGTGCACAAAATGATGCATCGATATCAAATGAAAAGTGATATAATCAAAATAATCAAGAGGTAGAGTCAACAAGACCTGTTATAAACGCCTTCTGAAGTTGACCACTGAGCCCGGTTCTCCAAGGAGTTATCACGGCGAAATGTCGTCTGGATACTACGAATAATATCATCCCGACAACAAGAATGAAAGCAGCTGTTGGGACTACCACTTTATACATCCACTTTTCCCAGCTTTTGCTTGCAGATTTATCATTCAAATTACCAAAGGTGCCACTTTGAGCAGGCATTGATGAAGGATTATTCTGCCTTGAAGGCACTGTTCTATTTCCATTACCGCTTGAGCTTCGAGCCGCAGGAAAAGAACCGCTTGCACGACTTGCAATGGAAACAGTGTGCGGAGGGCCATTGGTCAAATGTGCAGCTGAGAGACTTCTACTTTTTTGAAGGAGACGGCGCCGAACATTAACAACGTCAGCTGTTTCAGTAAAGTGAATGATTAAAAATTTCAGGAACATCTTATAAATTATAGATTCATTTATAGAATTACTAATTTATACTCACCCTGCAAATTATCATCCTTGCATTCTTGTTCATGAGAAGATTTCCCTTGCAGTTTTAACCTTCATGTGAAGATAAAAGAAAATTATTGAGAAGAAGTTTAAACTTAAAGGTTTAAAAAGTTGAAGTTTGCAGAAGAGAGAGCACCATTTGCTCCATTATCAACCATGTACAAAGTGTTTTTTTTTTTTTTTTTTTTTTTTAGGAAAATGTCTCTAATTATTAGATTATTAGCCTCACGAGGGAAGATGGTAACAAAATAGCAAGGTTTTCCATGTCAAATGGGAAGAAATAGTATGGGTTTCAGCTAAAAGTAATGGACAACTTAAAAAGACAACAAAGCAAATGCAGGTCAATGATGATTAAGATGTCAAAATATTTGGGGCTGTTCGAACTCCCTTTTTTAGGTAGGATTTTGATGAATCCTACTTTAACCCCATTATTGATCAAATCCCATCATTCACAGAATCGCAGTATGAAACAGTTTTTAGTATCTTAAAAATCTTAAATCGTGGAAAAAATATCGAAATAGTTTACTGAGACCTATACCGTATGACAACAACTATATATAGTTGGTCGGGCATCTGCTTGTCAGTTGTAAGTCCCCTCTGGTCTAAAGTTCGATTCCCCCTGGTGTAGGGTGTGGTACTCAAATTGTTAGGCGCATTGGGGATGGCCGAGGTTCGTATAATAGCCTCAGGACATTCCTTTTTGTATGGAAATGTCTCTCCCAGACTCCCACCCACCATATAATTAATATATTACACGTGACATTTTATATAAGAAAATGCAATAAATAATAATAATATATATTACATGTTATATCTGTGTGTGTGTGTGTGTGTTTCAGCTTAACAGTGTTTGTATATTTATTCGGTAGGCTCTTTAATAGAAAATTATATTAGGAGATATAATTTAATATCTTGGGAGAATCAATCTCCTTATTTGTTTCCATTCTATATTCTGCTGCAGGACTATTTATAAGCCCGTTAAATTCAGTAAAAAATACATGATTTGTTTCCTCTCAACATTAAGAAATAGAAAAAAGACTAACAGATGAAAAACACAAAAATACATATATTACTTTTCTGATTTTTGCAGTATCTATATACTATATAATAAAAGAAGCAGACGAGATTTAATAGAAAAGTGGATGAGCCATACGCATGCTCCATTTTGAAATAGTTTTCTTTCATATTTTTTAGATTTAAAATTTTTAAAAAGAGGAACAATATTACATTCAAAATTTTCAAATTTGAGATGTTTACCCTCTTTTTAAAATTTCAAACGTACGTCATAATATGAGAGAAAAAAATTGAAAATAAAGCTAAAAAAAAGTGACTACACAAACTGTGGTGGAATTATTGGCCTCTTTAAATAAATTTTAAACGAGATGCATTGGAATTCAAAATATCATTATCATAACTTTTTGGATCATAATTTATTAATTTGAAAATGAGGCATAAATTGATGAAAACAAGACAAAAAAAGCAAAATATTTTTCTAATTATCGTAGCATAGGTTATATTTGGAATAGAAGTAAGCTAAGATTAACAAATAAAGTGGTATGAGATTTATGTTAAGATTCACAATACAAGTGACTAAAAATTCGGATTAACATGTTACTCATAAACTGACTACAAAAATATATCTTACCAATTTGAATAATAAACCCTATTAAAGCCTGCATCACAAAGAATAATGAAACATAATGAAATAATTCCTATGTATTTACATATCTAACACCTAAATTTTACCTTTTATATCTATACCACCCAAATATTTCATATAACATAAAAAAATACAACTATTTTAACTTCTAAAAGTGAAGTACATCTTTTCTGCATAAATAAGGTGGTATTTATGTAAAAATTAAAGTTTGGGTGTTAGATATGTAAACAAATAGCAATTGAGTGGTATGTATGTAAATCTTCCTTATAATATTTTTCGTTAGAATAATTAACATAATTTTTGAAAGTTGGTACCAAAAAAAAACAAAAAGGAGAAAAAGAGAAGTCATAGCATGCTTGAATTGGTGTTACCTTTCAAATGACATTACAACATTACTACAAAATCTACAAATCAATTTGAGCAATATTTCCATAACTGAACACACAAACAAATTTGTGAAAATTTTTTTTTGTACCTAATCATTGCCCCTACCACAACACAGCAACTGTCAAAGCATGTGGTTCCCTTCTCTTAAAATCAGTGTCAAAAACTTGAGTTTGGTTTGATTTTTGTATGCTTAAAAGGCTTATTAGGAAATTGGCACATAAACTGAAGTAGGTAAAACCAAGAAAAAAAAATATTCGAAAAATATGGGATGAAATACACAGGTAATTAGAGAAAAAATCATAATTGTAAGAAAGTTCCTGTAGTCAAAAGGATTTCGGATAAAGCTGAAGAGAAAAAAAAACAAGTATAGTTGTTTAGCCACAAGTAGAATTAAAATCAATTTAGGTTTCAGTATGCCTTGTAGATCAAAGTTAGCAAATCCTAGAGGCATTAAATCCAAAAAATAATTTGGTAAGATAGAAGTTAAATTTAAAAATAATCTTAGTAAACTGAGAGGCAATCATCTTCACTATTTTAGAATTAAATGAAAAAGAATAAGAAACATAGTAAAGAGAAGTTGTATAAATCTCTTAAATACTACTTCCTGATGGAATAATAGTGAGGAATTTATTCATCCAGCTTATTACAGGTACAAGGACATCCAGGTCCATTTATAGACATATGGGGTATACGAGATAACAAGAAACAAATTACGAGAATAGTCAAGCCTATTTCTTCAGCCTAACGATGTCAGAGATTGTAAGCTTGTCTCGTAGATGCTGAAATACAGTATTTGACAGAGATTTAGTAAAGAAATCAGTAAGTTGATCCATAATGCTGATGTAATGAATGGCAAGCTACTTATTTTTTAGGCACTCTAATGTAGTGACAGTCTATCTCAATATGTTCTGTTTGGGCGTGAAAGACTGGATTATTTGCAAGAGCTATGACAAAAATTTTATTGCAATATATTGTGGTTGCTTCATGTATTGGGATCTAAAAGTCTTGTAGGAGTCTCCAAAACCATATAATGTTTGTGGCAACAGTTGCTAGAGCTTGATATTCAGCTTCAATTGAAGAACTTGGCAATCGTGACCTGCACTTTGACCGACAATGAAATGAGTGTAGAACCTAGAAAAATTCAGAAACCAGAGATAGACTTCCGATCCACCAGATCCCCGACCAGTCAGCATCAACATAAGATTTAAGGGTACGTTCATTCTTAATTATAGGTAGACTGAGAGATGCGTTCCTTTGATGTAGTGAAAGTGTTTTAGTTGCTGAAAATTGGTATTAGTTGGATGATGTGGTTCCTTCGATAGTGAAGGTGTTTTAGTTGCTGAAAATTGGTATTAGTTGGATGATGCATAGCTTGTTTCACTTGATTTACCACATAACTGATATCAGGTCTTGTCAAGGTTAAGTATTGGACCTATCCAACAGTGCGTCGGTAGAATGAAGACTCTGAGGCATCAAGAGGAGCATTCGGTCCATCGGCTTTGTGCTAAGTGGTGAGCTTCATACCAGTTTAGAGTTTTGCATGCCAGCAGTATGAAGTATTTGTTGAACATAGGAAGCTTGATTTAGATGTAACCCAGAAGTTGTCCGAATGGCACTAATAACAAGTGATTTTGATATTGTTCCAAGATATTTCATGTTCAATTTGCTTTGAAAAGTATCAACGGTCTTTGTAATGTAAGTAGAGTCAGTGCCAGAAATAAAAATGTCGTCCATGTATATTAGTATATAAAGATGAATAGAAGCTTTATGACAACAGAAGATAGACGGATCAACGGCGCTAGGATGGAAGTTCAATGTTTCAAGTTGTGTGGTTAGAGTAGTGTACCACTGTTTAGGGGCTTGCTTAAGCCTATATATAGCTTTCCAAAGTTCGCATATGTAGTGTGGATGAAGTAGATCCACAAATCCCTTAGGTTGTTCCATGTAAAACTCCTCGTTCAAATAACTATGAAGAAAAGCAATCCACACGTCTAGTTGAGTAATTATCCAATCATAAGAAATTGCTATGGTTAAAAAAACAAGAATAGTGTAAGTTTTAGCAACATGACTGGAAGTTTCAATATAGTCAATATTTTTATGTTGTTTAAACCCTTGAGCAACAAGACGTGCATTGTATTGAGCAACCAAGCCATCCCCATTATATTTAGTTTTGAATGTCCACAGACAACCCAAGGTATTTTGTTGTTGGGAAGGTGGAACCAACTCCCACGTCCCTTAATCTTACAAAGCCTGAAATTCAAAAGACATGGCTTTGCGCCAATTTTCGTTTTGGACAGCAGTGCTGTAACTGATAGGATCAGTAAGTTGCATTCAGTGAGTTAAATCAAATATTTGGTTGGGAAGGTGACCGGTTTTGGTTCTTGTAACCATAGGATGTACAGTGATGGGAATTGGTGGACAAGAGGAAAGGAACAAGAGTTGAGAAGGACTGGGAGCAGTGCAATGAGACTGTTCAGATAAGATGGAGGAAGGATTAGAGATGGCGACCAAGGTGGGAGGAGGACTGCTGAAAGAAGTAGGTAGAGGATAATGGGATTGAGGCCGGTGTAGAGAAGCTGTGGGACTAGAAGAAGTGGTCGTAACTCGGTTTGAGGAGGAATGGAACATGTAAACTGCTGAGACAATTGCTGAAATGGATATAAAATTTCGTTAAAGACAACATGCCAAGAGATGTAAACTTTGTTAGACTGATTATCAAGGCATTTATATCCATGTTGAGCCGAAACTTACCCAATAAAACACATGATTTTGATAACAACAATAGTTTGTTCTTAGAGTAACGTTTGAGCCAAGGGAAGCATTGACACCGAAAAAATTTTAAATTGATTATAGGTAGGGAGTTTAGGTTTATTATAGAGTATCACATAAAAAGATTTGAAATGAACTGTTTTGGTGAGAAGCTGAGTAGCAAGGTAACCGAATGTAAGTAGCGTGTCAGCCTAAAAAGTGGTGGGAAAGGAGTCTTCAATTAAAAGAGTTCGAA